TCCACTTTATTTGGTTTGTTCTGCCTACCTGAATAATGTTCTATTAACTGGCCACGTTGCTTACGTTAATTGCGCTTATCTCCGGTAATTTTGTTGCGTTTGTAGCATTTTTAAGTAACTTGTGGACATTTCTTACTTATCGCGGATTCGTTGCTAACCAACTTACTTCATATGGTAATTTAGGGAAGTGTTATGCCACCGTATCTGTATGCATTATTGGATTTATTTTATTTCAGCTTGTCGTTTAAAGTGAATGGCAGTTGCTTGATATCCCCGGTGTGTCTGCGCTTGATGTGCATGTTGACAAGGTGCCTACCTGTCTATTACCCACTACCTCGTTCATACTGGCTCCAGGAGACAGCTGGTCGTTGCTGGAGGGGACGGGATGCACGGTCCAGGTGGCCGTGCTAGGCTCAAGTAGTGGTTCCATGCATCATCATCATCATTACACGTTAGCTGGAGGTGGAAAACACCTCAGCTATTGTGCCGCAATACAAAAGGCAAGAAAAGGAAAAAACAAACAAACAAACAGTGGCACGCCCGCTGAGGCCCCAGTAACGGATGGACATCGTTCCGGAGAGCTAACAGCTAGCTGCCGTAAAAGAAAGTCATATTATGCCTAACGATTGAGATCGTGATTGGAGGGGGATGCTAAACAGGAGGGGGATGGACAAAGGAACTCACAACACAAACGCCATTGGGGCCGGCTCCTAGCCATATCAGCAAGTGTGTCCAGCCAAACGTGTTCACCGTCCTTAGGACCCCAGCCAGGTAGTCGGGATGCACCAACCGACGCCAACTTCGAAGTGAGGGTTTTCATTTCTCGCGACCAAGTCATCACTTGGCCTCCCCTCCTCCTCTTCCAACCGCACCCACAACGCGCAAACAATGCACGTCGTGGGAGTCGGTGTGCTGGCATGCGCAAGACGTGGCCCAGCCATCGGAGCCTGGTGCGTGATATAATCGTGCTGAGCGGTTCACTCGCTCTTCCTGCACCAAATACGCGACGTCGAACACGCTCATTGCTCACGCGGTGTTCCCACCAGACATGAGCTAAGCTGCGAAGGCAGCGATGATCGAACGTGACGAGTCTCTTCATGTCTGTCGACCTGATGGGCCAGGTTTCACAGCCATATAGGAGAGTTGAACGGACGGCTGCGTTGTAAACTCTGCCCTTGAGGGCGAGAGTAATGTCGCGTCTGCACCACAGGTGGCGGAGATTGGCAAAAGCACCTCGAGCTTTTGCTATACGGTTCGTAACCTCATCTTCAATCCCACGGGTGCTAATATAGCTGCCCAGGTACTTGAATTCTTGAACGACTTCTAGCAGATCACCACCAAGCGTTAACGCAGGATTGGGTCCCTGCCAATCTTGGAGAAGTACTTTGCATTTTGATGGAGCAAAGCATAGCCCAAAACGACTGACAGCCAGTGCTAATCGGTTCAGTGCTCTTTGGCATGTTTGGAGGCTGTCACAGATTAGGGCAATATCGTCTGCATACTCCAAGTCAAGAAGTCGCTCACCAGGGAGTAGCTCCACACCTTCTAGGTCGTGTCCAGCGAACGCTGTTTCCATGACTTCATCAATAGCGAAGTTGAAGAGGAAAGGTGACAGCGGGCATCCTTGTCTCACACCGCTGGTGATACTGAAGGGTGGCGAGAGTTTGCCATAAACCCTCACCCTGCCCGAACTATGTGCGTACAGCGCTTTGATAATGTTTACATATTTATCAGGCACACCTTTCCTCAACAGACAGTCCCAAAGGGCACATCGATCGACTGAGTCGAAGGCACCTTTTATGTCAAGAAACACGACAACGGTGGGTCGCCAATAAACATGGCGGTGCTCCAACACTTGACGCAATGTGAAGATGTGGTCGATGCAGCCCCGACCTCGACGAAATCCGGCTTGCTCTTCACGAATTTGGCTTTCACGAGTGCCAGTCAGTCTGTGGAGAATGAGAGAGGCAAGCAATTTAGAGGCAATCGAAATCAGACTGATCCCTCTATGATTGCCACATACCAAACGGGAGCCTCCCTTGAAAATTGGGACAATGACGGAGCGGTTCCAGTCTGTCGGGACTGTCTCCTGCTCCCAAAGTTTTACTAGCAACTCGTGTAGATCACCTATTAGAGCAGGTCCACCGAACTTGAAGAGGGCTGGAGGAATAGTATCTGCTCCTGCGGCCTTATGCACTCAGTGTGGAGCGGACTATGGTCCAGCTATCGCCTTGTGTGCGGTCGATTCCCCAAATACAGTGTGCTTGTTTGCCTGTGAAGGAGTGTGGGCCGTGTCTGTTAATGAAACGGGGCTCCCATCCACATACTTCCGGGTCTTATTCCTTCGGGTTTACACTGGATATGGGGTGTGTGGATGAAGTGTGGGTGGTGCAACGCAAGCCACCCATGGTCCCTCTGTAGGCGCAGGCGTCCTGTGGCTGACCACAGTGACAGGTAAATCTGAAACCGGATGCCGTCAACCATATATATATATATATATATATATATATATATATATATATATATATATATATATACAACACGCCCAATAAATAGTTGGCAGAGTGCTACAAAACATGAGTAACAATAACAAAAAAGGAGGAAGAAAGAGTCAGAGGAAGGGATGCAAAGTCCCATGTGCTGTGTGGGCAGAGAGCTTCCCGGTTAACCAGGCTGAGGAAGAGGGTTGACTTAAGGGACCCCACCCCGAGCCTTGGGTCTTAAAGACCTGCCCCGCAAGGCAGAGGAGCGATTCACGCAGGTTTCTGAATCCGAAGACCGTTGACAACCAGGTGGCTCATTCCCCTTCTTTGTGTTCGGAAGCAGTCCACAGAGAAGTCTGTGGCCAGCAAGGTTGTTCATCCACCCTCCGTTAGATACTCACCTCCAGTTAGAGGAGTGGTCAGTGACCCTATAGCCTGTCACATTGGCTTTGACACAGCGCCGTACGAGCACTTGTGGTATTTAATGGAAAACCAGGTGACCAGCCCAGAACTCCCCACGTTCTGAGACGCTGCCGCTGAGTGTCCGCGACTGCTTATTCATCTCGCCTGCAAAGCAAACGAGACTTATTCGCAGTTATCTCCACAAGGAATGCATTCCTCGATCCGCAATCTGGGGACGCGCGCGATAGCGTACAGCTCCGCCACAAATGCTATGCATAGCAACGGAAACACTAGTCCAACGAGCAAGATTATAGAAAAATAATCTCCACTGAGATCTGCTAGTTTTATTCGACGTTGCGTGATAAGAAGAAAAGGGCACTAACAGTACGCCGGTACGCAGTGCAGACACTTTGCTGCCGCGGAACCACCACAAATCGCAGGTGGTCCAAGGATACTGCGAGTCGTCTGGTCCCTACGTAGGCTCGAACCTGCGCATTCGGATTACAAGTCAGGCTTGTGATCCCCAAGGCTACGGGCCGAGTATGTTGCGAGACAGCTTGTTAGTCAGTAACTATTAGGATCATAAGCAGCAGTTAGTTAAAAAAACGACCGCTGACTTGTATGTGACAAGATTCGAAGCACGTACTCCGTAACGAGCGCAATGGAGAGTGCAGTGATGCTAACAGAAGCATTTGATGGTGCAAATCCATTCGGATCAACCGTTGATCAGTAAACAACAGACGAATACGTGTTCCACATTTGTGTTGCCTAGGAGTAGCCGATATATGACACGTAGATGTGATAAACGATCATCTCCCGCGCGTTTGGAATGGTGCCAGAGCATCCAACCGAATTGGTATTGTGAGGAGCTTAGATGACCTATATAAGCAATCACATTGTCGATAATCGCATTCCTAGATAAATGTCGCAGTCATCTGTAATCAGACGGCCATCACAGATATAGAAAAGCACTGCACGCCATTTTGCCGTTCGGTAATTAAGACAACCAGATACACCCTAATGTTATCAAGCGATATGGCCAGTTGAGGCTGGAGGGTAGTTGGCACTTCATGAATAGTAAGAAGAACATAAATGACGGCGACAATTTCCACGTACCGCGGTCTGAGAAGCGCAGCTACTGTTCAGACCATAAGGGGTCATGGCTACGAAACATGTAGAGATACTCTGAAGGCGAGATGCTGCAGCGATGATCGCTGACAAGTATCGGATGCTGGTGAACAAAATAGCCCGCCAAAGAAACGACTAAGACTGAATAAAATGCGTCACTGAATCCACGTGCCATGTATGTCTGTTCATCGCCAAACAAAGTGACAGAATGTAATAAATGAACAACAAAGACAGAAGAGGTTTATAAATCGAGTAACCGTGTAGCGATTGAAGTGATTGGCGCTTCCTTCGGAGTCAATCACTACAAAGTGATATTGCACATGCGGGCACCCAAAACGCGACAATGTCTCAGAAGGTATGGTTTAAAATGTTGATTAAAGATGGTATAAAGTTCGAGAGCGATATGACTGAATTGGATAGGTGCTGATAGAGAGAATGGCCGTTTCAGCCCGATGGTGGCTGTGCGATTCAACAGGTACCTGCAGCAAAACAATCGCGAGACAGGCCATAAACCAATGGTGGTGGCGTACCTACAGCTGCCTCACGGTTAGACTGTAGGTGCAGGATGCGTCTGTTACATAGTTGTGCTTGATCATAAGAAGAAGTGGTGAAAACTATGGAGAAAAAATTGCACATGCTGTTTTATTCTGTCACGATAGTCCTCTGCATGTGACGGTAGGGTGTCCATGACTTGGTCTTCCTTAGAGTTCATTTCGACGGCCTTTATATTTTATGGTCAGTTGGGCACTAGTGCGAAGTACTGATGTGCGTATGCTACTGTCACTGATGAGAGCGATAACGATTATAAATGGCAGAATACAGGCGCGAGTTTTAGGGTACGATTTAGAGGCTGAATAGGACGAAAACTTAGCACCCTGAGTTTGACGCAAATTAGCGATGCAACTTGGGATGGAAGTAAGCAGGAAAGAGAAATGAAGACTAGTTGTGAATACAAGGGAATAAAAATATGCGAAAGGAATAACTTACTGAATTTTCTTTTTCACACTCCAACTGCAATCGCTCCGGTTGGCAAAAGCAGGTGGAAGGGAGTGCAACAACGGGATAAACGGGTTTACACGTAAGAGGAGCTTCTTCAGAAAATTTGGTAACTGAAGCAGACTCGCCAAACCGACGGTCATGAGTGGATAACCGTCGACGATGAATTGTTGTTTGGTCAACGGAGACCAGTTGTGTCCGTTCTTCTGGTATTGTCTCATTGAGACTGGATAATTGTAATTGATCAGCTAAAAGGCTAATCGAACTGGGTGGTCTGAATTGCTCCATTGCCATTTCGCGAAAAGAACCGAAAACCAGTCACCGATTGTAAAAATAGGGGGTCTATATCACAGTTGAGTGGGTCGGGCTAAAAGTTAGGGGAGAAATCGGAGGTGTCATTTGCCAGTAGCTTTCGAACAAGTGCGTCCACGCTAAGTGCAGGAGTGGCCACTAGTTATCTAAAAAGTCAAGATAAATGTTACTAAACGGGTTGAGTTTACATAAATGAGCTAATTTAGGTTGGTAGGAAAACACTATAGGCAAGTATATATCATCTGTAGAAGGGTTTAAAATCCGAATTTGTCTTCATAGAAATGTACAGAATGATGGAAATTCACCAAGGAATGCGCGGTAGTCGCACAAATTGATTCACACTACAAACGCTAATACGTTCTGCAGTCTAGTGCGAAATGCCGAGAAAGCCTCACTGTGACATGCTAAAGCGACAAAGTTGAGAATTTCACACGTGAGATGCAAGCTAGGGAGAACATCGATTGTAAAGTGAAACATTACGTTGAGAAGGAACGGGGAGGCCGTAGGTATCTTGGGAACCGGATTACTGGTAGCCGCTGTTAAATGGGATTTAGACCTGAACGAGGAGGCTGTTGAGCGAGCAATCGATGCGAAAATAATAAAGCCGTATAACAAAAGGATGTCGCCTAAGGGAAAAGAGATGGGAAAATACCCCATCCCTTGTAGTGCAGTGGACAGTCTGACAAGGGCTACTCAAGAGTTATTTAAGTAAACAGAGCCTTAAAACAGTGTTTAGGAGGGTTTTGATTCGTATACAAGCACCAACGGAGGAGCGAATAAACTGCAATAATGGCATTAATACTCGAAAGGTATGGGTGTGCTCCGATGTGGTGGACGTTGTGTCATAAAAAAAACCGAGAAATAGTGAACACAACTTAGATGGCAAAAAAACTAAAAACCAGTATGCTATCGATAACTCGAGTAGTAAAGAATATAACATAATTGACAACTAGCTGTAACCAATCAAGTGTACAACAAACGACGAGACAAAAGAGAGGACAAGCGATTTGCAAGCAGTCATAATCGTAGAACAAACAAGCAGATGTGAAGCGATTAATGCGCACCAAAAGGAGAAGAATAATTCGGTTGAAGTGCATGTAAATCAAAGTAGGTGCGAACAGTCAGCCAGGGACACGAGTATGAAGCGGCAGTAAACCGAGAATACCTAAGAACGGGTTGTAGACGAATCCGCGTCGATAAGTTCTGACAGACTGAACGATCAATCTCAGTTAAAACAGTTAGATAACTGCGAGCGGAGCACCCAAGTGTAGGGAATTCAGTTACCCTGATCCGTGTAGAAGCGATAGAAGTAACCAGCAATCGTGGGGAAAGTAAGGGAACAATTCCTTAATCCTTGAGTGTCCTAACGTGCCAAGCAGCAGTGGACAGATGAGCACTAGCTGTCAATCGTTTTCGGTTATGCTTTTCTCCCTCGAAATGCAAAGTCCTTCTACAAGATTGGCAGGCACCCACCTCTGCGCTGATTCTTGATGGAGATCAGCTAAAAGTCGTTCAGGAATTCGAGCACCTGGCCAGCCATATTGGCGCCCGTGGGATGGATGCTGAGGTCATGAACCGTAAAGCAAAAGCTCGAGGTGCTTTTGCCAATCTCCGCCAACTATGGCATCGACGCAACACCACTCTCGTTTTGAACGGCAGAGTTTATAATGCAGCCGTCCGTTCAACCCTCCTATATGGTTGTGAAATCTAGCCCATCCGACATAAAGAGACTGGTTACTTTCGATCATCGCTGCCTTCGCAGCTTAGCTTATGTGCGGTGGGAACACCGCGTGAGCAACAAATGTGTTGGACGTCGCGTATTTGTTGCAGGAAAAGCGAGTGAACCGTTCAACACCATTATATCACACCAAGCCCGATGGCTGGGCCAAGTATTGTGCATGCCAGTCCGCGGACTCCGGCATTGTGCTATGTTTGCGCACCCGGGGTCTAGATGGAAGAGATGGAGCGGAGACCAAGCAATGATTTGGTCAAGAGGAATGAAAACCACATCGAAGTTGGTGTCGGTTTGTGCATCCCGACTGCCGAGTTTGGGTCTGAAGGACGATTAACGTGTTTGGTTGGACACACCTACTGATATGGCTAAGAGCCGGCCCCAGTGGCGTTTGCGTTGTGAGTTTCTTTGTCCATCCCTCCTCCTTTAGCTTCACCCTCCCATGACGACCTCATAACAAATGAACAATATGATATATAACATTATATTTCTTGCTTTGTTTTTTGCAATCTTGGTGTCTTACTTTTTGTATTGCTGCACATTAGCTGAGTTGTTTTTCACCCTCAGTTAACGTGTATTGATGATGATATAGGGAAGAATGAAAAAGCAACAAAAAAGGAGTTACGGAAATGTTAAACAAAAGTTATCGAATTGGAACGTCAGCAGATGGTCGAAGATATCGAGTGCGTTAGCATCGCTGATGCGCAAGTACATAAGTCTCCAATAACCCGTTCGATTACGGCACACACTTGGCAGTGGGAAATGAAGTCACTGATGACCAAACTGGTGCCATTGGTCCGTCTCGCCTTCCGCGCTAGAGTCCACGTGACTCGCCTTGTGCGAAAACGTTACAATTCTGAATAGGCTGCCTAGAGTGGTCCCATTATTTGGTATGCACTTCGCACTTTCAAAGTGTAAAGTGTTGCTGCAGGATCACCAGTCACTTGATGACACCATGGCCCTTGCTAACGAGAAGCTCGAGGTGGTTCATCAATTCACTTATCTTGGCAGCCGCATCAGCGACGATGGGCGCATAGAAACTGAAGTCAGTTCACGCATCGTAGAAGTCAGGACTGCCTTCTCGAACCTGTGGCATCTTTGGCGACAGAAGGGAGTTTCCTTCCGTCTGAAAGGCCGGGTATACAAGGCCACAGTGAGGGCCGTTCTGCTCTATGGTAGTGAGACTTGGCCCCTTCGGCCTTAAAATCTGAGGCGTCTTCAAGTCTTTGATCATCTTCGTCTGCGAAGCATTACTGGTGTCGGATGGCTCCAGTGTGTCCGCAGCGATGATGTGCGTAGGCGAGTACTAGGTGGTGATAATCATGCTAGCTCCCTAGAACAACACAGCACTGAGTAAGTTGCGTTGGCTCGGGCACATGCTACGTATGCCTGGTCACCGCTTACTTAGGAGGGCCTTGTTTAGTCTGCCAGGTGTAGAATGGCCCAAGGATCGAGACGGACAGAAGTTGACTTGCCAGTGGGAAATGAAGTCACTGATGACCAAACTGGGTGCCGTTGGTCCGTCTCGCCCTCCGGGCTGGAGTCCACGTGACTCGCCTAGTGCTTGGCTCGAGACTACATAACATGGCTTGCAACCGACACCAGTAGCGCGTCTGCTGCCGTCTCCTAGGCGGATTGTTTGTTTAAAGTGTGTTTGGTGCTGAGTTATCTGCGGGGTAATGGCTGATTATGACGCGGGGCAGTAAAACCGCAAGGAAGCTGTCTCACCGACGCCGCCTTATCTTTGCACGATAAGCAGTTGTTTGTGATGGTATGTTGTCTATACAAGGTGTAGGCGCCTTGACCTTGAATGTTTGTTTAGGGCATTAAGCGTTTCAGGTAAGTCCCCCTTCTCTCACTGTTATCATTCTTTATACTCTAGGTCATCATGATTGTGTGGCAGCAAAGCATCAGTTCAAATGGCTGAGGTACTGTGGTTGTTGTTAGTGAGAGTCGCGAGTTAGGTACAATGCTACAGGCCTTAGAGAAGTCAACGAACAGCATGTACACTACATGTACACTATCTACGGCTGTATCCCAGCCCTCACGAGCTACCAGTAGGTTCGTTAGACACGAAAATCAGTGAAATCCGTTGCGCGACACTATGCAGGTTAAATTTATTCGAATGGTTTTCTGCTGGAGCTCTTACTAATTTTTCAAGTAATTTAACCACCACGCTAGTCAAGCTGACAGGCCGGTAAGTCATTGTCACCGCACTTGAAAATCGAGCAGACCACAGTCCCTTCCATACGGAAGGTAAGACAGCTGTTAAGTGACTTCTAAAACACAAAAATCAGAAGTCCATTGAGTTCTGCTCCGCATTTGTCCAGAAGTTTATGCTCAACAGAATCTGGCCCGGAATTCTTAGCTAGGTTCATCTCTCTCAGCAACCGGAGAAGTTGAGAGTCAGTTAGACTAATTTCATCCAGATTAGAGTCCTCGAGGACTCTTGAAGCTAGTTCGCTGCATAGCGTGTTTCGCGGATAAATACGCTCGAACCGTGCTCACCACACACACACGTCTTGTCATGGTCGTTATACGCACGGGTCCCATACACTAGAAACAACGCTGGAATGGGCGAGTTTGCACCATATCGCTTAACGCAGGCGAAGAATTTCTTCGGATTGGTCGAGGCCGTGTGAGCTAAGCCTTTCTCATATTGACTACTGCGTTGTACAAAGGAAGAAAGACCTCTGGCTTGGTACGACCCAGAGCCCGCCTGAGTCGAAATAAGTGTCATGAACTGCCAGCAGCATAATTGCACTGCACCAATGGCTTGAAGCTGTCCGTCAGGATGATATCAAGATCGCGAGCTTCAGTAACGTCCTGTAGTGTCAGAGACCCATTAGGTGCACGCAGTACATCTCCATCACTCAGAGTCAATAGCTATCATTTGATGGCGTTCCAAGGCAGATTCCAAGAGCTTGAGCCCTTAATAACAGTGACTAAATTTTTAGACAACGAACCTTGGTCGCCATATGTTAACAGGCCAGAAATCATCAGCAAAGATATGTGGGGCCCTCAAGTAGAGGAGTTAAGTCATCTACAAACATAAGAAACAGCAACGTACCAAGCATTGAATCATGGGAAGTCTACTATGCACCTGCCGGTACGGCAGCCCGCCGAGAGTTCGCTGACAGTCCGAAATAAGTCAATTGAAGAAGAATCGGACTTTCAAAGGAATGTAGGAAAATGTTTTGCGGCGCATTCCTTATTCCTCTCCAGCCGGGGCTAGGATAATAGTGCGCGTTGTCCAATATTTCCCATTGTCCTAGTCCCACCCACTGCTTCGGTTGTAGCATATGAGTGCAACTACTTCTAGTTCAAGTGGGACCGGAACAGTAGGAAGATCCCGTGAATGTTCCACCTTCGAAATCGTCGTTGAGCCAACAGGGAATGCGGTGGATTGATCTGCCAAAGGAGAGCCAGATCAACACACACGATTCACATGGTCAACCAAACAATGCCCACGTGCCCTGCACTAGCAGTCGTCGCTGTGCCGTCCACGTGAAAACAAAACGAAAAGAAAGAAGGGGAAGGATAAGCTTACGAAATTACATGTGTAAGGTTGAGATGCGTGAAAATGAATTAACAAGTAGGCAGTAACCCACGATTAAAAGCTTAAGGCACGAATGGGAATATTTTAAACTTTAGATTGAGGGCGTCAAGTCGAGATAATAACAATAATAATAATGTGTCAGCTGTACGCCGTAACGGCGCTTCGCTGCCGCGCGACCCCCATCAGTCGCGCGCGGGCTGAGTATACCGCGAGGACGCCCAACCCTACGCGGATTCGAACCGGTGACCTTATGGTTGCAAAGCAAACGTGCAGACCACTCGGCCACCGGCCGACGTCAAGTCGAGATTCAAGCTCTTTCACGGCCGGTGCCACTACAACTTCTGCGGGGAGCGCGTTCCAATAACCTATGACCCCACGCGATAACCGAAAAGCTGCCCCAACCGGGTCAGATCGGGGTTTGTGCAACTTCAATGGGTGGCCACGAATGGTTGGCACTCGAGTTGGGTGGAACAATCTAGTTAACTTAGGACCAATCTGACCCACTAGTATTGGTTCTTTGGTAGGGTTGAGAGCAGAAAGGAGATCCTGTGTCAGCTTCACCACTTCCCTTTCAAAGCAGAGATATCGCAAATCTTTCTGATACGTCGTTCCACAAGAGACCCTCACGATTCCAGCGGAAACAACACGAGGCTTGCTTACTTAGCAGATGGGAGTCCAACAATCGTTTAAAACTTTCCTCACTCTGTGCGCTGACGACGGGTTCTGGTAAATTGTTCCAGTCGCTCAACACACGAGTAGACAAAGTAATATCAAAATAGATTCGGAAACTCCTCGGTTTAAACAGTTTCCAGGAGTGACCCCGTGTCGTACTATCAACGCTGGATTGAAAGAACACCTTCAGCTCATTTCCCATCATCAGATCGCCACAACGACGATGATAATCCGTGGAAAACATGTTCATGTGAGAACCAAGTCACCCCAAAGTCGCCTGTAACGCATGGAAAGCACATCCAAATTCAATGGGACAGGAACAAAAGGAAACTCCCATGGTCTTTCCTTCCTGTATGCGTCGCTGATCCGCATTAGAATGCGATGGCAAGATCGGCCAGTTGTGGGATCCAAATCAGCACGTACAAATCAAATCATGGTCAACCAATCAAAACCCACGTGCCCTGCGTTAGCAGTCCCCGCTGCGCCGTCCGCGTGAAATAAAAAAGTAGTAAATTGTAGACTAGATATAAAGCGGAAGGGTACGAAAGAAGACAATGAACTTAGTAAGAGTGAATAAAGAGGAAGCTAGCTCGAGAACAACCAGAACCTAAATTAAGAAGAGAGGGCGAAGATTCGGAGGTGCAAGTTGAGGGCTTCGAGGCGACGTTTAAACTCTTACCGTGGATGACAAGACTACATCCTCAGATAGCGCGTTCCAAGAATCTGTCACTCGGCGTGACAAACGAGTATTGACCCGAAACCGATCAAATCGGATGCCCGCGTAGAGTAGGTACCTGTGTAGGATGAAAAAGCCAAGAATGGTCTGGACCTATCCGCTCTGTCAGTATACGATAAGTGAGAATCAGGTCACCAAGAAGACGATAATGTAACGAAAACATTCTTAGCTTGAGCAACCTGTCAGGATAGGACAGGTGCCGCAACCCGTGGACCATTTTGGTTCCGATTCTCAAGACCCGCTCTACCGTCATCCTGTCACGAGTCAGGCAAGGAGGACAAGCCTGGACGCAATACTCCAGGTGCGGTCTAACAAAGGCCGTAAACAATTTAACAAACATTTCTTCCGTTAGGATCCCAAATGATCTACGGATCATCCAGAGGGTTCGAAAACCCCTGCAAGACGCTTTCTTCTAGTTTCCGCTGGATTTAAAGTCCTGACACAAAGTGACCCTTAAGTCAATTTGTTGGGATATGTGAGGAATTCCGCTGTCTCCAAGCATGTAGTGCGTTGTCGGACCACTTGATTCTATGAGCAAAACTGGACACGTGCTGTAGTTTAATGAATCAATTGAGGAGCCTGCCACAGAACTTAGAAGCCATCGGGGTCCCTCACCGTACAACAAAACTTTAAGTCGTCGGCGAACATGAAGGTAGGCAGCCCCAAGCACTTCTGGCAGTTCATTTACGTACATAGCAATGTACCAAGAACTGATCCCTGTGGGACACTGCTCAGGACTACATGTAGGAAAGACTTAAGCCAAAAACAACAACAACAATAACAACAACAACAACAACAACAACAACAGTACATCAGCCATTTGAACTGATGCTTTGCTGCCACACAACCATGATGACCTAGAGTATAAAGAATAATAACAGTAAGAGAAGGGGGACTTACCTGAAAAGCTTAATGCCCTAAGCAAACATTCAGGGTCAAGGCGCCTACACCTTGTATAGACAACATACCATCACAAACAACTGCTTATCGTGCAAAGATAAGGCGGCGTCGGTGAGACAGCTTCCTTGCGGTTTTTACTGCCCCGCGTCATAATCAGCCATTACCCCGCAGATAACTCAGCACCAAACACACTTTAAACAAACAATCCGACTAGGAGACGGCAGCAGACGCGCTACTGGTGTCGGTTGCAAGCCATGTTATGTAAAGTCTCGAGCCAAGCACAAGGCGAGTCACGTGGACTCCAGCCCGGAGGGCGAGACGGACCAACGGCACCCAGTTTGGTCATCAGTGACTTCATTTCCCACTGGCAAGTCAACTTCTGTCCGTCTCGATCCTTGGGCCATTCTACACCTGGCAGACTAAACAAAGCCCTCCTAAGTAAGCGGTGACCAGGCATACGTAGCATGTGCCCGAGCCAACGCAACTTACTCAGTGCTGTGTTGTTCTAGGGAGCTAGCATGATTATCACCCCCTAGTACTCGCCTACGCACATCATCGCTGCGGACACGCTGGAGCCATCCGACACCAGTAATGCTTCGCAAACAACGATGATCAAAGACTTGAAGGCGCCTCAGATCCTCAGACCGAAGGGGCCGTCTCACTACCATAGAGCAGAACGGCCCTCACTGTGGCCTTGTATACCCGGCCTTTCAGACGGAAGGAAACTCCCTTCTGTCGCCAAAGATGCCGCAGGTTCGAGAAGGCAGTCCTGACTTCTACGATGCGTGAACTGACTTCAGTTTCTATGCGCCCATCATTGCTGATGCAGCTGCCAAGATAAGTGAATTGATCAACCACCTCGAGCTTCTCGGTAGCAAGGGTCAAGGGGTCATAAAGTGGCTGGTGACCCTGTGGCAACACTTTGCAGTTTGAAGGTGCGAAGTGCATACCAAATAATGGGACCATCCTAAACAGGCGATTCAGAGTTTGTTGTGCCACCGCAACATGGTCGAAAAGCAAAACGATATCGTCCGCATAATCAAGATCGACTAATCCTTCACCAGTCAGCACTTCAAAGCCTACATTGTGACATTCCGCAAGGGAACACTCCACGATAGAATCCACGACGAAATTGAACAAAAATGGAGAAATCGGACAACCCTGACGAACGCCACTTGTGGTCGGAAAGCTATCCGATAAGCCACCGTAGACCTTGAGGCGGCCTGTAGTGTTCGAGTATAGAGCACGTAGGATGTTCACATATTTCGTGGAGACATCTTTCTGCGCAAGTATTTCGAACAGAATCAATTGATCGACTGAATCGAACGCACTCTTGAAATCAAGGAACACAGCTATTGTCGGTCTGCGGTATGCGTGACGCTGCTCTAGTGCCTGCCGCAAAGTGAATATATGGTCTATACAGCCACGTCCTGGGCGGAAACCTGCTTGTTCTTCCCTAATCCAAGATTCCCGTTCCACAGTGAAGCGAGGAACGAGAATCGAGGCCAGTAATTTTGTCACAACTGGCGTTAGGCTAATACCTCTGTGGTTAGAATAGTCTGCGCGACTGCCCTTCTTGCATATTGTCAATGTAATCGATTCGGTCCAATTAGCCGGGACACTTCCTTCCAGATACGTTCGAATAGGGAGGTCAGTGCTTTGCAGAGGACCTCACTTCCATCCTTAAATAACGCAGGTGGGAGGGAATCCGGACCAGCGGCACGAAAACGATTGAGGGCTGTGATGGCGTTTCGGACCTTGGCCTCCGACAGAGGCTCTAAAATAACCGTCCATGGCTCGTCCTCCATCAACTGGGTAGGAAGAGGTCCGGGAGCTGAAGGTATGCTGCACTGATCCTGAAAGTGTTCCGTCCAATGAGCAATACGGCGCTCCTTATTGTGTATCAGTGCACCTGCGCTGTCTCTGATTGTCTCACTGACGCCTGGTTTCCTGGGACCAGTGGTGCGGATTAGCTGAAAGAGCTTGCGGTAATTGCCTACTGCTCCTGTCTCCTCCATTTCTTGAGCCCGAGTGGTCCACCAACCTTCCTTGTCAGCACGTATGCTCCGCTTTACTTCGCGGCTAATAGCCTGTCCGGTCACATTGTGCTCAGAACCAGCCAGGAGGTTTCCTCTAGATTCCAACAAGTTCACCGAACTCTCGAATATCCAGTGACTGGTGCGGTGATCATTGACAGCACCACAAGCAGATGCTTCTGCGTGCTACATGGCGACCGAGATCCTATTCCACTGAAGCCCAGTGTCAGAACAAGACAGCGAAAGTTCGGTATGCAGTGCTTCTTGATAGGCTTGCTTGACCGAGGGCAGAGATAACTTCTCACTTGCCAATCGGAGGAGACGCTTGGTACGCCTCCCAGTAAAGTTTAGGGAGAAAAAACAGCGTACCAAGGCATGATCAGAGTCGACGAAGGTACTCCAGTACGAGCGACAATCCAGGATGGAACCACGCCACCTGTAACTTATGGCTATGTGGTCAATTTGGGTCCATTGCTGGCCAGCTACAGGAGGACGCCAAGTGGCACTT